CAAACAAGATATTCTTCTCCAGGGACTGGTCCCTCCTAATAATATATCCAAAGTATGAGAGACAAAGTCTAACCATCCTGGTTTCCAAGGAGCTCTCTGGCTATACTTCTTTCAGCACAGATTTATTTGTTCTTTCGGTAGTCCGTGGTACTTTCAATATTTTCCTCCAACACCATAACTCAAATGTCTCAGTTATTCTACAGTCTTCCTTATTCACTGTCTAACTTTCACATGCATATGACGTTCTTGAGAATATCATGACTTGAGTCAGGTGCACCTTAGTCCTCAAACTGGCGTATTTGCTCATCAACACTTTAAAGAGGTCTTCTTGTACAGCAGATTTGCCTAATGTAATATGTCATTTGATTTCTTGACTGCTGCTTCCGTAAGTGTTGATGGTTGATCCAAACAAAATGAAGTCTTTGACACCTTCAATCTTTTCTCCATTGATATGGATTTTGTTTATTGGTCCAGTAGTGAATTTTTGTTTTTGTTTTTTTTTTCTTTACATTGAGATGCAACCCATGCTGAAGGCTGTGGTCTTTGAACTTCATCAGTAAATATATATATTCTCAAGACATAAAAGCCATGACATGAGTAGACATATGTACACATATATTAATTGTAGCAGTAGTCACAATAGCAGAAAAAAAAAGACAGCCTAAATGATCATCGATGGAATGATTCAAAACTTTGATACATACATACATTGCAATACTATGCAATGTAGAAGAATAATGATGAATCTGTGAAACACTTCATAACATGGATGAATCTGGAAGACATTATGTTGAGTGCAATTGTTGTTGTTGTTGATAAGTGCAGTCAAGCCAGTTCCAACTCATAGTGACCCTGTATAGGGTTTCTAGGGAGAATCTGGTGGGTTTGAATGATCGATCTTGTGGTTCTCAGTCCAGTGTTGTTCATACAGAATCATAAGGATGAGTATTTTATGAGACCACTACTGTAAAAAAAATCAAGAAAATGTTTCCATATTTAAAGAAACATTATTTGATGGTTATTAGGGTTGGGAGGGAAGGGAGAGTAATTGACTAGAGGATAGACTGTTGTTGCTCAGGTGACAGGGAGTGCAATATATACGAGAAGAGGGAAGTTGAAAGAAGAATGAGACAGGTGAATGGACAGGGAGATTTTCAGGGTGTAGAATGCACAGAGGTAAATAGACTTCTATACACACAGAGAACAGCAGTGTTCAGCATGGATATATAAGTTGGAACTTATAGTGACATTATGCACAACAGAACAAGCACTGCCCAGTCTTCTTCCAGCTTCACAATCATTGCTAAGCTTGAGGATATTACTGCTGCCACTGTGCCAATACATCTCACTGGGGGTCTTCCTCTATTTTGCTTATCCTCCACTTTACCTAGCATGATGTCCTTCACCAGGGACTGATCCCTGCTGACAACATGTCTGAGCATGAGAGACCAAGTCTCACTCTCCTGGCTTTTAAGGAACCATAAGACTGTACTCCCAACACAGATCTGTTTGTTCTTCTAGAAGTCCATGGTACTTTTGAATAACCTTCTCCAACACCATAACTCAAATGCATCAATCATTCTTTGGTCTTCCTTATTCACTGTTCAACTTTCACATGCATATGAAGTTACTGAAAATATCATTACTTGAGTCAGGCACACCTTACTTTTCAAACTGATATTGTTATTCAAATTTACTGTGTATTTGTACATATCTGCATGTTTTTATTCTAGAATGCACATGGCTGGTAAATTTGAACTACAAACTTCATGATTAGCAGTCCAATCTTTATCCTACAGTGTCATATCAGACCTCCTAGGCTTTCTGCTCCTGTAAAGATATACAGTCTCGGAAACCCTGTGCAGGGTTGCTATGAGTTGGAACCAACTCCACGGCACAAAACAACAAGTCTTAAACTAAACACAGCTATTTCTGCCAATTCAAATAGCTGATGTTTTGTTTTAACATCCATTGCTTTTGTTAGTTCTTACATGGCAACATTATATTTTGTGTTTTATAATATTATTATGGAGTTGTTGTTGTTTCTAGGTTCCATTGAGTCGATTCTGACTCATAGAGACCCTATGCACAACAGAACAAAACACCACACATCCTGCTCTATCCTCACTGTTATTTTTATATTTAGCCCATTGCTGCTGGCACAGTGTCACTCAATCTATTTTAAGGTCTTCCTCTTTTTTCTTAACTTTCACTCTGCCAATCATGATGTCCTTCTCCAGAGACTGGTCCCCACTGACTGGTAGAAGTTCTGGAGATGAAGTCTCGTCATTCTGGCTTCTAAGGAACATTCTATCAGTATTTCTTCCAATACAGAATTATTCTTTTTTTTGTTTGTTAGTCCATGGTACTTTCAATATTCTTTGCCAACACCATAATTCAAATGCATCAAATGTTCTCTTGTCTCCCTTATTCATTGTTCAACTTTTACATTCATATAAAGTAATTACAAATACCATGACTTGGATCACTCGCACCTTAGTCTTCAAAGTGACATCTTTGCTCTGTAGCACTTTAAAGAACTCTTTTGCAGCAGACTTGCCTGATGTAATACATCATTTAACTTCTTGTCTGCTGCTTCCATGAACATTGTAGAACCACACAAAATGAAGTCTTTGACAACGTCAATCTTTTCTTTGTTTATCATGATGTTATTTACTGGCTCAGTAGAATTTTAGTTTTTGCTTTTTTCCACATTGATGTGCAATCTATACTGAAGGCTGTGGTCTTTGATGAAGATCAATAAGTATTTCAAGTCTTTTTTTATTTCCAGCAAACAAGAATTTGTCATCTGTATATTTCAGGTTGTTAATGAATTTTCCTGCAATCCTGATGGTATGTTCTTCTTCATGTAATTCTGCTTCTCAGATTTTTTGCTCAGCATACAGACTGAATAAGTATGATGAGAGGATTCAACCCTGACACACACCATTCCTGATTTTAAAGCATTCAGTATCCCCTTATTCTCTTCTAACACCTGTCTCTTAGTCCATATACAGGTTCCACATGAGCACAATTAAGTGTTCTGGAAATACCTATTCTTCATAATGTTAACTATATTTGATATGATTCACCCAGTTGAGTGACTTTGCATAGTCAATAAAAAACAAGTAAACATCTTTCTGGTATTCTCTGCTTTCAGCCAATATCTATATAATGTCAGCTATGCTATTTCAAGTTGCATTTCATCATCTGAATCATACAATATTCATAGGATTATTGATGTTATTATTTATTATGCATTATTTATACTTTAATTAAAGTATTGCTTTACACTCATATATCATATAAGGTGTCCTGAGAATGCAATGGTTAAAGTGTCCAGCTTCTAACTGTAAGGTTGATTGTCTGAACCCATCAGCTGCTCCATGTGACAAAGATGTGACATGCTACTTCCCTATAGATTTAAAGCCTTCAGACCGTATGGGGTAGTTCTACTCTGTGCCATAGATTTCTTAATGGGTTGGCATCAACAGCAATTGATTTCATTTAGCATGTATCCTATAACCTATATTCAGAAGAAGTTGGGCCAATTAAAATAATAGTAAATAACATATAATAATTATAATAGCAGCTGTCATTTAATAGATAACTAGTAAATACCAGATGCTGTCTATTTTTGTTAATTAATCCTTAACACTGTCCTATAAGGTAAGTATAACTATCCCCATTTTACTACGAAACAATTTATTCAAGATAATTTAAAATCTTATTTAGCTGATTCTTACTTCAATTGGTGCCCTATAGTAACCACCACTTCATTTATTGCTTTATTTTACTTGCTACTGATGGCATCTCTCAGATTAAGCTAATAATTTTCTGTCTTTGCTTTTTAGGATTTGATACTAGTATTTTGCCAATTTGCAAAGATTCACTTGGGTGGATGTTTAACAGACTTGATACAAACTATGACCTGCTATTGGACCAGTCAGAACTGGGAAGCATTTACCTTGATAAGAATGAACAGTGTACCAAAGCATTCTTCAATTCTTGTGACACATACAAGGACAGTTTGATATCTAACAATGAATGGTGCTACTGTTTCCAGAGACAGCAAGGTAAATGATGCAGACAGTTGACCAGCATGCTAAATTTATATGTTCCTTTCAGATTGTAGATGTTATCTAATTTAAATGCTTTATAAAGGAGCAAATAAACAGCAGGTTGAACAAAATGACTCTGCTAGAGATTCAAAACATGCTAAATAAGATGAAAAAAGTAATTAATACTTTATATTAATGCAATTCATTATAGTTGCTATTCTGAACTGCCAAAAAGCACATCGAGATATGAGAACACAGATATTAAAAGTAATCATTAAAATTAATTTGCTATCTGCTTTGCCCATGGTGTAAAATAAATGGGATTTTTATCACTATACTGTGGAGTGTTAATGTTCTATTTTGTGATCTTATTAAATGAACCACAACTTTCAGCATATTGTTATTTTAACTCATTTAATTTTAAAATGACATAGTCTTTCAAACTTTTTGAAATAACTTAGTTTTTTTAAATTAGCATGAAGGTGTTTTAATTATGTCAAAGAAGTCTGGAAAAATTAAGATATGGATGAATGCTAGTTCTTTATGCATCATTCTTTATTAGGAAATATAAATAAACCTACTATAGAATTCCATGGGAGAAAGATGAGGCTTTCTGTTCCCATAAAGATTTACAGCCTTGGAAACCTGTACAGGGTTGCTATGAGTCGGAACCGACTGCATGGCACATAACCACCACCACCACCACCACCACCACTACAGAATTGGAGTCCTGGTGTAGTGCTGTGGGTTAATGCACCAGACTGCAAAGCCATTGAAAATGCAAGGTCTGTGGTTCAAGTTCAACCCTATAGGGTTGCTATGGGTTGGAATTGACTCAACAGAACTTAACAAAAACAACAACAAATATAGAATTGGAATTAGATTACATAATCAATCAACATGATACTTTAAATTAAGATTTTATTTGAAAATGTTTTTTTAATGTATATTATAATAAATTTCTTGTATGCTAAGGAGACAAGTTTGGTGCTGATATTAAAAACTGGGAATTGGTTTAATGTAATATACTAAGTATTGCCATGTATTTAAAAATTTTAACAACTGGTACGATGAATAAGCTTCTTTAGATTCTAGGTGCTTTGGTTAATGTGCTGAACTGCAAGGTCAGTTTGAACATCAAGGTTGGCGGTTCAAGATCACCAGCCACTCTTTTGGAAACCCTATACAGGGTCATTATGAATCAGAACCTACTTGACTGCACTTAATAACAACGACTGGTTCTAATTTTCCCATATGGAAATCTAATAGAGTATATAAATTATTTTACCATACGGATTATTTTTCATATATTAGTAATCATTTAGTAATTGCAATAACATCAGTCATACTATGCTGGTAATAATAGCTTAGGAAGATTTCTAGGGTAGTTTAGCATTTATAAACATTCTTAAAGAAAGTTCAAAAACATTTTCTTTATTAAAGGATTTTAAATCTTACACACACATGCATGCTTATTATTGACTTTATTATTACATGTAAGTTTTCCAGATACTTGAGCATGCACCAATCCATTTGCTGTACTGTGGTGACTTGTGTGTTCCTGTGATGCTGGAAGTTATGCCACCAGTATTTCAAACATCACCAGGGTTACCCAAGGTGGTCAAGTTTCAAGGGACTAAAATAATGTAGAAAGACATGGTGATAATGCTTTTTTAAAAACTAGCCAGTGAAAACTTATAAATAGCAGCAGAACATTGATATAGTGCCAGAAGATGAGTCCCTTTAGTTGTATGGCACTCAAAATATGACTGAGGAAGGGATGTTTCCTCACAGTAGAATTAACATAAATTCCATAGATGGAATAAAACTGCAGGGCAATCATTTTCTGTATGGCATGGCTTAAAATGAGAAGGAACAGCTACACAATTTATTAGTAATCAGAATGCCAAATGCATAAAGTTTGAATCTAGGAAAATTAGAAGTCATCAAAAATGAAGTTGAACTCATGAAAATCATATCTTAGGCATTCATGACCTGAAATGTGCTGGTGTTGGCCATTTTGAATTGGATAATCATATGCTTTACTATGCCAAAAAATGGCAAATTAAAGAGGTATAAAAAGAACATTTCAAGTTTTATCCTGAAGCACAACTCTGTCCAACTGATAACTGCAAAGAAGGCAGTTCAAACCCACCAACTACTCAGAAACCATATAGAAGGTCACTATGAATCAGAATTGACTCAGCAACATTTATAAAAATCAGGGCAACAACTTAATACAAGTGTTATTCAAGTTCATGCAGAAACCACTAATGCCAAAGGTGAAGAATTGAACATGTTTGCCACATGATAGACACTAAAGTTGATCAAGCATGCAGTTGTTGTTGTTGTTGTTGTTTTTGTTGTGTGCCATGGAGTCGGTTCCGACTCATAGCGACCCTGTATAGGGTTTCCGAGGCTATAAATCTTTACTGGAGTAGAAAGGCTCATCTTTCTCCCATGAAACAGCTGGTAGTTTCGAACTGCTGACCTTGTGGTTCACAGCCCGATTTGTAACCACTATGCTACCAGAGCTTCTAAACATGCAGTAAGGATGAATTAATCATGATTGATTATTTGTATGTGAAAGTTGTAAACAAAGAAGGAACTGAAGATGGAAAATATGGCTTTAATTGATTATGTATATGTTGTTGTTGTTAAGTACCGTGGAGTCAGTTCTGACTCATAGTGACCCTGCACAGGGTTTCCGAGGCTGTAAATCTTTACGGGAGCAGATTGCCTCATCTTTCTCCCATGAAACCACTGGTAGTTTCGAACTGCCTACCTTGAGATTAGCAGCCCGGTTCATAACCACTATGCTACCAGAGCTCCTTGATTATGTGTGTATGTATATATATATATATACCATAGATTGAGTGATAAAAATTGGTAAGACCAGTGGCTTATTCATTGCAGATACTCTTTTTCAACAATATAAGTTACTATACACAGGTAATAAATTGAAGAAATCTTTGGAAGGAGACTATAGATAACTCAATATCATCATTCAGAACAAGCCCATGGCTAACTAAGGAACCAACTATTGATTGCACCTACGAAAGTTCAAATTGAAGCTAAAGAAAATTAAAACGATTCTATGAAAGCCAAAGTACAATCTTGAGTATATCTCACCTGAAATTAGATTCCATCTCAAAAATAGATTTGACTTATGGAACAATGACAGAAGGTCAGACAAGTTGTGGTATGGGATCAAGGACATTATACATGAAGAGAACAGATGGTTACTGAAAAGACAGGAAACAAAAAGAGACCAAAATGGATATAAAAAGAAACTGAATTGTTATTCTTGAACATAGAATAGTTAAAGCAAAAGAAAGAAAGGATTATGTAAAATAACTAAACACCTACAATAGTAGCTGGGAAAGAATGTGTATTATAATCACATGTGCAAAAAAAACCCCTGAAGTTAGTAAACCAAAAGTGTGAAAACTAAAGAAAACAATCAAACTTTGAGTTGGAATGTTCAAGGATTCTATGAGCAAAATATAAAATGTAAGAGATACCAAAGTAAAATAGAAGAAACACAAAGAGTTACTGTACCAAGTAGAATTGTTCAATGTTCAGCCATTTCAATAGGTAACATATGATCCGGAACCAATATTATTAACAGAAGAAGTACAAGCTTCATTAAAGTCATTGATAGAGAGTAAGGTTCCAAGAATTGACAGAATGCAAATTTAGGTATTTCAGCAAATGGATTCAATGCTGGAAGAATTTACTTACCTATGTAAAGAAATTTGGATAACAGCTACCTGGTCAACCAAATGGAAGAAAACCAAAGAAAGGTGACCCAACAGATTGTTGAAATTATCAAACAAAATTATTATTATTTTTATTAAGATTAGACAATGAATAAGGAAAACCATAGAAGAATTGATGTCTTTGACTTACTTTACTGACAAAGAACATTTAAAGTGCCATGGAATTCCATAAGAAGAAATAAATGTGTGTTAGAAGTACAGCCAACCGCTCCTCAGAAACAAGGATAGTAAGCCTTCATCTCCTGTACTTCAGTCATGTAGTGGGAAGGACCAATCCATTGGAGACATACATCATGCTTCGTAAAGTGGACTGTCAGCGAAAAAGTGAAAGACCTTCAACAAGATAGACCAACACAGTGGCAGCAATAATGGTTTCAAACCTAAGAATTGTGGGCAGAGTGTAGGACCAAATGGTGTTTCATTCTCTTGGGCATAAGGTTGCTGTGAATTGGAACAGATTTGGTAACACCTAACAAAGACAGCAACATCATTATTAATCAAATGTCATTGTGGTGCTGTGGGATAAGCACTGGACCATATGGTCGGTTTGAACCACAAGGTCAGCAGTTCAAAACTCACTAGCCTCACCTTAGAAACTCTATATGGGGTTGCCATGAGTCTCAGCTGACTAGACAGCACTTAACAACAATAACATTTAATTGTAAAGTTTAATGATTAAATCAAATGATAATTTACTTAATCATTGTTCTCATTCAAGTTTTAAGTACATAAAATCTAGAATTACCAAAAATTTGAACCAAACAGATAATAAAGACATTAGGGGACAAAAAATTGATTGTATTAATCATGCCTATACCCTAAACTCTTGGTGTGATGATGCAGGATAAGCACTAGACTGCTTCTTGGAAATCCTATATAGGGTCACTATAAGTCAGGAGTCATTGAAACTTCCATGCAATTTGTTGGGTTACTACTCTTTCATCTGAAATAATTATTTGCAAGTGGGTTGAAATGACAAGTAAACTCTCAATTAAATGTTCAAGGTACACATAGAATAACAGATCTAGTTCATAAATAGTCGAAGGAAAAGATTTTAACATCAAATATTGTATATATATATATACATGCAGCCCAATCCATCATTATTTCTCTTACAATCTTAAAAGGTTTCCCTACATATATCATCTAGGACTAACACTTGCTTTGAAAATCAGGATATTCAGCAATATTACTAATTAACAGATACACTCTAATGTGTCTGGGTTTTCAAGCAATCTAATAATGAATATGTAAGAAAAATTACTTCTACTTACCCAAAGGGGTCCAGGAGAAAGATGAGGCTTTCTGCTCCAGTAAAGATTTACAGCCTGGGAGAACCTATACAGGCTCACTGTGAGTCGGAACTGACTCCACAGCACACTCCCACCATAACCCAAAGGGGTAATATTGATTTTTTTTTTTTTTTTTTACTAAGCACACAGGGCAATCACGGGAGCTAATTATAAAAAAAAGTTTTACGAAAATTGAAAACTGAATTGAAGAGACAAAGGCCAAGAAAGTTGCGACAAGGATTTTTTTTTTTTTTTTCAACATGACGATGCACAGACTTACTCATTATGGGTAGGAAGGGCTGTTCTATGAGAACTCCCATGGAAATCCTTACCTCATCCACCTACAACTCTGATCTTGCTCTTTCAGACTAATTTGTTTGTTTGTTTCAGAATCTCTAAGAGTAATTTAAAGAAACACAATTTGAGTCCCCCAACCATGCCCAAACTGACATTTTGACATGGTGTAAATCAACATGTGCTGATTTGTCAGGGAAGGGTCAGAGATACGAAAGGCTTTCAGAACTGTGTAGACCTAAATGGAGGATAGAAAGAACTTCATAGTTTAATATATAATTTTTTTTCATAAAGGTTTCTATAATTTTGTAGCATTTTTTCTTACCCTCATATAAAGTTATTTGTGCACTGTTTTAAGTAAGAGGAAATTTCCTTGACAGTTTTGGTAGCAATTAGTAAGTTATATATTGATCGAGTAAGAAGTAATTTTACCCTATAAATATTTATAGCATTGTTATTTTTTCTTTCAGTTTCAGTCATTCTTAGGAAAGTCAATAGGATGTAAAATTAGTTAGAATTAGTAAAGCATATATTGTTGTTGTTAAGTGCCGT